CCCGGCGCCCCGCGGGACCCGCGGGCCGGCCCAGGACAGGCAGTAGAAGGGGATGGCTGTCTGGGTAGCCTGAGATGGTGTTTTCTTTTCGCCTGCCTCCGTTTCCCCAGCCTGGAGGGAAATGGCAACTCCTTCCCTCGCGTCTGGCCTCCTGGGAGGAGGGTGGTGGTGGACCGGGGTGGGAGGAAGGCCTGTGGTAGCCCAGTGCTATTTTGTCCCCCGTTCAGATTTGAGGGGTGCAGAGCCAGCATGGTTGGTTCCAGGTCCCATGGAACTAGGCACAGGGAATGGCCAGATTGAACCCCAGAGGAGCCCGCTGGGCCTGGAGGCTTTAGAGTCAGAGGTGGGTCAGGGGTGTGGGGGGGGGCAGGAGCTGTCTCAGCCACGGGTGGGTGCCACGCCCACGGCAGCGAGGCCCTCTCTGCTGGTCTCCCTGCTGGGAAGTAGGTGGGAAGGGATCCCCACCTCGGGTCTGGCTGCCCTTTGAGGGTCTGGTCTCTGGCCCTGCGCCCTCCAGGGCTCTGTTTATGGCCATAATTGCTGGGCGCTGGGGGTTTATGGAGTTACTTAGCACCTGCCCCCACAGGGAGGGGCCTCCACCCCGCTGGCGCTGCTGTTCCTTTTCAAAGTCAACTGGGTTTCTGCAGGCTGCAGGGGTTTGCCCCGACCGCAGCTGGCAGGAAAGCCAGGTTGTTGGGCCTTTGTCCTGGGGATGGAGGACAGACAGCACTTGGGGCCCGGCTTGGGGCTGCCCTGGAGATGACCGTGGAAATGGGGTTGGCTTCCTGGGAGGGGGGGAGGGGAGGGAGAGCGTTCAGGTTGTCAGAGCTGCCGCCAGTGTCCCCGTCCCAGGCTGCAGGGATCCTGGGAGCCTGGCCTGGGACAGGAGGGACCTGAGACCCACACCTCCACCTCAGGGCCTGGTGAGGAGGGAGGGCAGAGCCGGCCTGTGTCTGGTGAGTACTGCCTTCCTAATGGTCTGTGTGGGGCTTGTGTTCAGTGTGGTTTGTTTGGGTGGTTACAGGAATGTAGGACCCTCTGTGTAGATGCTGGCCTGTGAGCCACAACACATTCTATTAACAGTATCATGCCCAATAAA